TTTTCTGTGTCACCTTTATTACGAGTAGGTTTAGAATTTTGAAAGGACATATGGGTTATCTTCCAAGAGACAGAAATAGAAGGAAAGGGAGAGAAATAATTTTTGGTAGGTCCACCTTTTTATATATGATCGATATATTCTGGGGCTGGGGTTGTTATAGCTGCTTCCTATGTTATTATTTTGGATTAGCTTAACTAGATGCTACAATTGACCTTTTCTTATCTTCAGAGGAAAGCAATGAGATTTTGTCCGTCAGATCCACTAGAGAGTGTTGCAGCGTGGAGGAAACCTCCTTGCAGAAAATTTCTGGTACATCTGTTCCTCCAAGATATTCATCATCCAGTTCCGAGATGACAACATCGTCAAATGGCAGCTCTTTGTTGAAAATAAAATTCAGTTCTTCTGCCTCAAGTTCGCGCGGTGGGTTGTTGAAGAGTTCAACCAGCGGGACTAATTCAACTAGTAATGGTTTGAAGAGCAACTTCAGCTATGGCAAGAGAGACATTGTTACTGATGACGCCATGTTTGAATCTTTGGAACATAGCCAGGATCCGTTTGCATTTGATGAAGATGAGTTTGAGCCCTCTAAGTGGGAATTACTATCAGGGAAGAAACATTCTAAAAGTAAAAACAGTAGACTACCAATCAGAAATGCTGAGGATGTCTGTCAACTGCAGCTGAAAAGGCTAGAAGATTTAGATAAAGGGGAACGTCGGCATCAAGAATCGAGTAGCTGCGATAACAATTGTTCTCAGGAAGCATCTACTTCAGGAGCCATTGATGAAGAAAATCGCAGCTTTCTAACGGATTGCCTTCTTACTGCTGTTAAGGTATTACAATGTTCCAATAAGCTTAACTATATATTAACTGTCTGTCAGCTTTTGCATGAAAATTCAATCAAGTTCACCCTGTCCAAAATATCTCAAGTTGCATGTGATCTTAAGTAGTTCCCATCCTGATTTGATTGATGGCGATGATATGTGTAAATTTTCAGTCAATTACTTATCATAGAAGGGAAGCCATGCAGGAGTGCCTTTTTCATGATTTTTTGGAAATATTGGAGGGCCTCTTCCCTCACTCCCCATACCTCTTTGTGTATATGTTTAGTATAGTGTGCAGATCTGATTTGTACATAAGATGAAGCATTTACAAGTTGCTCCCTTGGCAGGTATTGATGAATTTAACAAACGATAATCCTCTAGGATGTAAGCAAATTGCTGCATGTGGAGGATTGGAGACCATGGTGTCAGTAATTGCTGGCCACTTCCCAATGTTTAGCTCCTCATCGTCTCTCTTCAGTGACAGAAAGGAGAAGAATCATAACATTGGTCTTGACCATGAAAAGGAAAAGCATCTCACGGACCAAGAGTTGGACTTTCTTGTTGCTATTTTGGGCTTGCTTGTGAACTTAGTTGAGAAAGATGGAAGTAACAGGTCATCATACTATCTTCTCCTCCTCATACACAAATTGTTCTTCTTGAAACTTCTGCTGGGCAATTGCAGCAATGCATGAAGTCCCAATGTCAGAGAAGAATTCAAATAAGTTGGTTTTGTTAAAAATGCATGGAAATATTTCGTTTTATCATAAATTTTCATTTCTTCAGTATATCTTAGTATGAAATGATTGATATAAAGTGTTCAGAAAGAAGCTTATGTCTGCTCTCTAACTTAATTCGATATAGTCCAACCTGTACATTGAAATTGATAACTTGCTATGTTTGGTTAATCGTATAAGATGGGCTTCCTTTACCCTTTGGCTAGAAGTCTAGAACTTTTGATAGTTAGAGTCAATATTCATCAGTGCAGCAGATAAGTAAGGATTCCATTGCTAGTCCTATCACTTACTAAGCTTCTAATGCAGATCCCGGCTTGCAACAACCAGTGTTACTGTACCCAACTTAGAGGGTCTTGAAAGTGGGAGCAGGAGGGATGTAATTCCATTGCTGTGCTCCATCTTTTTGGCTAACAGAGGTGGAAGTGAACCAGCTGGTGAAGAACAGGTTATGGAATTGGTATGTGCTGCTTTTAGCAATTATAAGTGTGATGGCACATGAATATTGTGCCGTTATAATATGGAAGACTCTTTTTTTTTGGCTTGAGGTTCTATATTTTTTCTTTATGATTTGCCTTGCAAGGACTTGCCTGTTAATATAACCACGCCTAGCTATTGGTTCTTGAGGAATCACCAAATTGACTTGATGCTCAAGATATCTGTTCCCTTTAATGCACTAGAATATATGACATCTCACAAAATCTTCATTTTTGAACACTTTTCAGGATGACGAGGCCTTGTTACAAGGAGAGAAAGAAGCTGAGAAGATGATTGTCGAAGCTTATTCTGCCTTGCTTCTGGCATTCCTCTCCACAGAAAGGTTTTCCACCTTGCTACCTTTTCATTTGTATGATTTTCCTTGATAGCGTCTTCTATTTTAGAACATAATGATTTACTGCCATATTCAGCAAAAGCATCCGCGACGAAATTGCTGCATGTCTCCCGCAGCATAATCTGGCGGTTCTAGTCCCTGTGTTGGAGAGATTTGTGGTATGTATCTCTTACAGAATTCTAAATCTGCAGTCATAACAAGTTCTCTTCAGCCCCATTCCATCACGTCTCTTGCTTTTGCCGGTGAATAAATGAGTTTCTTAATCTAAATGAAATAGGGTTAACTTTTCTTTTCTGGGGGCCAACTATAGGGGGCTAGTTCAGTGCCATATGTTATGTTGCTTTGTTTCTGTGGTCATCTACTCGGTTAATGATCTCTGCAGTCAAGGTTTACGGTCACTGCAATTTCTCTGTTCTTGTCTGTGATCTGGATACCACCTGATGTGAATTTGTCCTACAATTAGCATTTATACCCCAATGTGAATTTGTCCAACAATAGCATTTATACCCCAATGTGAATTTGTCCAACAATAGCATTTATACCCCTGGAAACCGGATGATTGTTGTCGCTGAAGTTTGATTTATTTAAGCCTTGCGCGTGAAGTTTCGAGGGACTGAAGATATGTGGCATTGGTCTGTGGGATTTACTTCGTACTTGTTTCCTCTCATTCAGGCATTTCACTTGACTTTGGATATGATGACGCCGGAGACGCATAAAACCGTAAGCGAAGTGATCGAGTCGTGTAGAGTTCTATGAGAACTCAGAGTGGTAGAGATTCAAATTCCTGTACAGCATCTTTTCTTTCAGGATAGTTGTTTGAGCTTTTACACAGTGAAGTGTGACAGATACGGCATTCTATTGAGTTGACTACAAGCCTCTCTGTTAATAGTCTTTTATAGGCCTCATTTTTCTTCTCCCCCTCTTGATGTTCTCTTTTAAAGCCCTTCTGATCCTCCTCCTTCTTTTATTGCCCTTTTCCCACTTTGTTATGTACTCTTTTGGGTTTTGATAGTGTATCTTTCTTTTGTTTGTTTTTCACCTTCTAGGTGAGCTTAGGAGAATCTTCACTTTGTGCATTGCTGCTGTAATTTGTAAATCTCCTATTCTTTGTTTCAGTTTCCCCCCTAAAATAATTTGTACTCTTGTTATTCAAAAAATAAAAAAAAGAAACAAAAAGATGAATGGTTGAGAGCCTTATAAAGATCTGTGCAGCTTTTTTTTCAATTATCAATTGAACTTTAGAGAACAAGCTAGTCAATGATAAGTTTTTCCAATGGGAAAAAATGGATTAAGGTTTCGTTTGTTTCGCGGTAATAAATAATTTGGAAAATATTTTTTTAAAAATGATTGCTTGTATCGTTTATAAAAATGAAGGATGAAAATATAGTTTTATCGTTTACAAAAATATTTAGATATAAGTTGTTGTTGGCAGCGAAAATATTTTTTATTGACTAATTATTTTAAACGTTATAAACGATCATTTTAAAAAAAATATTTTTAAAATTATTCATTTTTCGTGAAATAATTAGAGCTAAATTATTTCATATAAGGTAGGTAAGGAAGTTCAATTTGATCATGCATCACCAAATAAAGGAAAACTAATCGTATTCCTGAAAAATGATTTTTGGGAAATGATTTTTCTTTGTCATTGAGTTTTCCGCGAAACAAACGCATCCTAAATAAATGAACCTTGTGTAGTGTATTTTATTTGATTTTGTATTACAAAATTGCTAGTGACCACAACAATAATTGCTATATTTTAAAAAATATATAGGTCATCTTAAATCTTTTGATTTACACCCTTTTAGGAGCTCATGGAATATCACATGTTTTTACACTTTCATAGTCACATCCCTCTCGTGATACGGATAGATTGCCTTTTGATATATGTTATGTTTGGAGTGATCTTTGGTTTAAAATTTTCTAATTTATTTTCTTCTGAATCTTGCGGCTTTCGTGATTTAATTTTTGTTTCGCGACGAAAATCTGAAATATACAAATCACACGCCATGATAAGTAAGTTTATAATTCAAACGCTCTTGGGATTTTCTATTAATTGTTGATCGATCTCGATGCTAAGATACCAAAAGTTTTCTATTAAATAGCTTCTTGACATTGTTTATATTAGGAGAACCAAACCAGCCCATTATATACATATATATTTTTTTTTTGTTGCAAGAATTCAAATTTTTATAACAAAATATAAATATTGGTAGTCTTTCACTATAAAACACACGTCGGTGAGATAGTTATATTATTATTTATTCCCGTTAAAGACCAAGATTCGATTTTCGATAAGAGCAAAGGTATTTTTTTTTCCCATAACCGGTTCCCAAGTAGAACCGGCGATTCCGACCTTATAACCACGAATCGAACAGGTCCCAGGCGGGTTTTAGGGCGGTGGAACTGGGATTTTCCGAACCGGTTCTCCATTCAGTCTATGTTAGTTTGGTCCGGTCCGGTCCGGTTTCCAGGTCGAATCGCATCCGGTGCTCACCCTAGGTTGACACGGACAGAGTCGGTACCGTTAAGGTTTATATGTGACAACAATCACAAGGTTGTTTGTAGCAAGCACCCTTGCCTCGTTGTCGGCTCAGGCGCCTCTGACCACGTATTGTTCCTCGGAGTGGCTTTTCTCTCTCTCCCAGCAAGAATTTCTTCAAGCACCAGACGAGAGAGAGAATCGTCAAGCCAGGAAGAGATCATCAAATCCCTTTTGAGAGTTTCTTGGAATTAGGGTTTCTCTGGTACGCTTCTCTCTCTAACTCTCTCTCTTTCTGTGGTCTCTGATCTTGTGTCTTTTTCCATTCGAATTGGGTTTCTTGTTTTCCGGGTTCTTTGATGTTCGAGCTTCGCCGCGAGTTTTCCCGCGATACCCATGTTTTGATTTGGCTCGGGTACGTCGCGGGTGGACAATTTGGGGGTCCCGTCGAGCTTCTTGCTGGCGAATTTCCCGTTTTTCGATCGTTCGCAGTGGAAAAGGTTCCTCCTTTCCGGGAAAGTTCTCTGAGGCGGTCCGTCTGTAGTTGTGGGTTGTGGGTTTCTCTTGATTGCGTGCGAAAGAGATCGTTCCTCGATGTTTCGTCGTTCCTGGGTTGTTTTAGCATACTAAGAGAGTAGATGTGGGTGGAGTGAGAAAGGCTCCAAGCCCCCTTTTTTTTTGTTTGTGCAGTTGTGTGATGGAGTGAGGAGGATTTTGTTTGAATTTGTTGTGACTTGTTATTACCAAAAACGGAATTGAAAAAGAAAGCGCTTGTGGGGAGCGTCCTGTTTGCTTTTCCTGAGGCGTGGTGCTGATTCTACTGGCTAAGGAGTAAGGAGTATTGTTAATGATATAGATTCCGGATTGGTTTTTTTTTTTGGTTTTCACAAGATCGGCGATTACAGAACGCCATGCTTGTACTTGTTAAGAACAGAACCATTTAATTGGTTGTTTCCTGTCTTATAATGTGTCGTTTCAAGGATATGATGTAGGGAAAGTGAAATCAAGCAATATGGAATTTTCTCTTGAAGGAAGTATTATTTGTCAGTCGAGTGAGTTTTGAATTATTATTCTCATTATGTAAGTTTTCTTACAGCTGAGAAAATCATGGCGGACTTGGAAAATTTGCTGCTTGAGGCAGCTGGGAGAACCAATGGGAGAGGAAGGAATAAGCAGTCATTACCGCCATCAAGGAGGAGGCGGGAGGGCTCGTATTCTGATCACGGGAGCGACTCCAGGGACGATGAGTCCGATGATAATCGGGGTTATTCAAGCAGGAAGCCGTCTGGGTCTCAGGTTCCTTTGAAGAAAAGATACGAGAGGGACGATGATCAAGGAAGTTTAGAAGAAGGCGATGATGACTATGGGGGCTCAGATCGCAGGGGCGACAGTAGTGATGAATCTGATGTTGGCAGCGACTTGTATAAGAATGAAGATGATCGTCAACGGCTTGCAAAATTGTCTGAACTTGAAAGAGAGATGATTTTGGCCGAACGAGCAGAAAAGATGACGGATAAAAGCATGGCGAAAAATTTGAGGAAGGATAGGAAGACCTCTCAGTCGCGAAAGGAGACACCTCCTCTTGCGTCACGCGGACGCACATCATCTAGATCCGCTGACAGAACAGCTGCCAAGGATGAAGCTTTAAACGAACTGAGAGCAAAAAGGTTAAAGCAGCAAGACCCAGAGGCTCACCGTAAACTGAGAGATGGATCTAGAGGAAGTACTGCTAACCGAGATTTATCATCAGTCAAGAGAAAAGCCTTTCCTGCTTCAAGTCTGAGTAGTTCGAGCCGGAGTGAGAGCGAAAGTCGGTCTGACAGTGAAGATGAGGCATCAACTGGCGATGGACTGGTTGACAGCGACGATGACAGGGCACTGCCTGGTTCAGAGACTCTGAAATTTGAGGATGTTAAAGAGATTACAGTTCGGAGGTCAAAACTGGGAAAGTGGTTTATGGAGCCCTTTTTCGAGGACTTAATTGTTGGTTGCTTTGTAAGGGTCGGAATTGGAATGTCAAAAAGCAGACAACCAATCTATCGGCTCTGCATTGTTCGGAATGTTGACGCCTCAGATCCTGATCGACAATATAAGCTAGAAAACAAGATGACATACAAGTACTTAAATGTTGTGTGGGGGAATGAAAGCTCTGCAGCTAGGTGGCAGATGGCAATGGTTTCAGACTCCCCACCACTTGAGGAGGAGTTTAATCAGTGGGTTAGAGAGGTGGAGCGGAGCGGTGGACGGTTGCCTAGCAAGCAGGATGTGTTGGAGAAGAAGGAGGCCATCAAGAAAATTAACTCATTTGTTTACTCAGCTGCTACAGTGAAGCAGATGTTGCAGGAGAAAAAATCGGCCTCATCAAGGCCGATGAATATCGCAGCTGAGAAGGATAGGCTGAGGAGAGAATTGGAAATTGCACAGTACAAGGAAGATGAGGCGGAAGTCAAACGGATCAAAGAGAAACTTCAGCAATTGGAGGCCACTCGACAAGCTCAGAAGACCGATGAAAAGGCTATTAAGCTTGCTGAGATGAACAGAAAGAACAGGGTTGAGAATTTCAAGAATGCCTCAGAATTGAAACCTGTGAATACGTCCCTAAAAGCTGGAGAGGCTGGGTATGATCCCTTTTCAAGAAGATGGACCAGGTCAAGGAATTACTACGTCTCTAAGCCGAATGGAGGAAATGAGGCTGGAGGTGCCAATGACAATGGTAATGTTGCATCCGTGGTTGCTGAGAGCAATGGGTCGGGCCCAGTCGTGTCAGAAGCCGGTGTGGTGGCAACGGTTGAGGCGCTTGAAGCTGCTGCTGATGCTGGGAAATTGGTTGATACGAACGCGCCGGTTGATCAGGGCACTGAATCAAATATGTTGCACAATTTTGAACTTCCAATTTCATTGAATGCACTTCGGAAGTTTGGTGGGGCACAAGGAGCATTAGCTGGTTTCATGGCTAGAAAACAGAGGATTGAAGCGACAGTTGGATGCCGTGTGCCAGAGAATGATGGGAGGCGGCATATTTTGACATTGACAGTTAGCGATTATAAGAGACGGAGAGGGCTCCTCTGAGTAATGATTCGACCAAATGGCGTTTATGAAGGCGACGTATTCCTAGTCCTCCATCCTGTCAAACCAGTGATCCATGCTTGTGATTTTTATCGGTGGGTTCGCTTGGGGTCTGCCTCATCTTGTGGACTTTTTTTGCCTTTATAGTGACTTCCATGCAGTGCACCTGCCTTTGCTTGTTGTGTATCTATTGAACCCAGGCTAGGTTTTGTCTTGGGACATGTTTCATTAGCTTAAATGAGCAGATTTACACTTGGGTATCGTTGTCTATTCTTTTTGGTATGCAAGCAGGATTCTCTGTTAGCCTCGAGTCTTGGCTCCTCGCAAGGACACTCAGTGCTTTCTTCTTGGACACGGGGAGCAGGAGATAAAAGTGATATGCTTCTCGAGCGACTGTGTGCGTCTGTCGTTACTTATCGCTCGTCAAGTGTTGCCATGACTCAATTGTTATGAAAATAAGATTTTGATCAGCATGAATAGTTGATTGAATGTTTTTACGTCTCATTAGAATTAAAGAAGATCAGGAAGTCCTGAAGTCTCAGCTGAAGTTTAATGCCCGGTGTCTGACTAGTCTTTCTGAAGTAAAGATCCATGCTAGATAATGTGTTAAAGAGTGTTGAGATATGATTATTGAATGATTCTGCGGTTGATTAGCATGGCTTCTTATTGAGGATTTGTTGTTTAGTAATTGAGGTAGGCAGGTTAATATTGTTAATTTTGATGGTGTTAACTTTCAGATTTTATCGTATTCTATTGTCCTCATTCTTTTTGAATGCTTGTACGCTTCTGCGAATGCCGTCAAGAAATTGCCAAATTTTGTTAGCTGAGAATGTAAAACTTGAGGTTGGAGAGGCTGGTTAAATAGGTCAAGACTGCTTAGCATTTTCGTTAGGACCGATGGCAGATGAAGAAGTTTTGCATTCAACACGAGGCTCGGCCATCCCGCCATCTCCGCTTCCGCGATGGTGCTGCCACTACCACTGATCGGCGTCACCACCACCAGTTACCACAGGTCCGGCCTCGCACCAGAATAGGCCTATCAGAAATCTGAGGTTGTGGAGGTTGAAGCAGAGTTGTCTTCACGATTGCATCCATGGCCGCTCGAGCTTTTTTGAGCTCCAAGCGCCATGGTTTGCTCGAGCTTCTTAGAGCTCCCTGCCATGGCAGCTTGAGTTTCGTTGAAGTCGGCCATGGCCGCTCGAGCTTTTTTGAGCTCCAAGCGCCATGGTTTGCTCGAGCTTCTTAGAGCTCCCTGCCATGGCAGCTTGAGTTTCGTTGAAGTCGGCCATGGCCGCTGCAGCTTCTAGGTTTCTTCAAGCTCGTGGCCATGGCAACTCGAGCTTCGTCGAAGTTCTCAAGCTTCTTCAAGCTCACAGCCATTGCCGCTTAAGTTTCATCGAGCTCGGTCATGGTTGCTCCAGTTTCCAGACTTCTTTGAGCTTGCACCCATGACCGCTCGAGTTTTGTTGATTGCAGCCATGGCCACTCCAGCTTCCAGGCATCATTAATCTTGCGGCCGTGGCTACTTTGTCCAACTTGGCCATGGCCGCTCGAGTTTTAGACCATCATTTCGTGGAGGTCAACCTCGAGGATGGCGGCAATGAGGACGTACCGATGGGTGGGTCAAAACTAGGAGATTTAGTGGTTGGTGGAGCAGTCGCGGAGCCAAGGCGGCGATGGTGATGGATGGATTTGTGCGACAGCAGACTAAGTAATAAGAAGATGCTGGACTCGCAGGCGCCACATCAACACCTCTCTCATCGAAAAATAACAACTGATCCCAAGTCAACTATCTCCGTCAGCTAAATCGAACGGAGTGAACGAACGGGCTCGATTGCACTATTTGAAAATTTAAGGATTCGATTGTACTTTCGCGATACGATTTTAAGACTTTTGGTGAGCTTATCACAATAGAATCAACCAATATACGTAACGTTAAGAAGGTAGGTTATGTTCTTGAGGACCTTTCCGAGGTTATCTGAAACTATGATTCATCCAGAAGCAGAATAGAGGGAAATAAAGAAAATGGGGGTGAGGACTGAAAGGAATTGGAACTTCTCTAGATTGAATCAATTAATCAATACACCAAACCATCTTTTCAATCATGAATGCTGTTGGAAACAACCGCGGAAAAATAAATACAAAACACAAGGATTTACGTGGTTCGATCACAAGGTGATTTACGTCTGCGGGCGAGGCAAAACAAGATTCCACTGTAATCAAAGAGAGTACAGTTTTCAGAAGTCGAAAAACGACTTAACAAAACCTCACGGCTCACAAATCTCTCACAAAACGAAAATCTCTCTGTCAATAAAAAAACCTAGCCGCAGTATAAATAGTGCTCTCCAAAAAATTTCCTCGGGGGCCAACTTGGATGGTCCGCTATAGAAATTTGTTCACTTGCTCCGAGTTGGGCCTATCAGCCTAACCCTCCGCGTCACGAACTAAATCTCAATTTTTTCTCCACGTTTTTGGTTGCACAAAAAATATGTCGGATCGGGTGATGAACTAGACTGAGTACATAAAATTCAAAGACATATTTTACGAATGCATTGTCACAATTATATTAGGAGACTATTGTGCGGTGCCAATCCACCTGCCTCCCATCTCCATCCGATTGAAGAACTCGTGGATTTGCCCTTTCCTCCTCCCTTTCAAACAGAGCCCGTGTGAATCATGATGAGGTAAGAAATAATGGGCGTTCTTACTTTCCCCGATCGAATTTGACTATAACATCGGCAAAGTTTTCATCTTCGACCAAACTAATGTTGATCTAGATTGTAATCGGTACCCTTTCCAATGGGCCGCCCGCCGCTGTTGACCTTCAGCGATCGTAGCAGCATCAGGCAACGCAATACCCGAATTTACAGAAAAAAACATGGCTAGCTGTCATCACGTCGATGGAGGTCGCTAGGGTTCAAAACAAGAGAAATTCACACACCCTTTATTTCAAGGATTCTAGTCTAATAGTAGGTTCAACCCTTAGAATATATATGCAATCTCGTCTTCCATTTTCATCAAAACGTGAAGGGATCTGTCCAACTTCCCCCTCTCCTTAATTGGTATCCTAATAACGTGCAAACGCGTCTGTTTCCTCAATTTCCTTTTAAAACGAGTTCTCTTTTATTCCGAATTTGTTTGCATGAATGAACTTGATATATTTCTAATTATAAATGATTAAATGTAGAGAGCCACCATAAATACTCAAGCTAATGTCTCTTTTTTATATATATAATCTAAAGGCCATCATGGTTAGGGTAAATCTAGAAACAATCAAGATTTGTTCGACCATAAAAGAGAAATGCACATCAAACCAACCTAATCTTCATATATATGACTTTCCTTTCCATAGCCAATGAAACTCAATTCAATGAGATCAAAGGGTTACTTGTCACTTAGTCATTAAGCATGCCCAATAGTTGCCCTCGTTAGGAAATTAGAACCCGTAGAAATTTAGAATAGCCGAGATTCCGGTAGTCACGATTTTGATCGACCTTTGTTCTTTGGATATCGGTCGAGGTGCTTGTATATGAGAGAGATGTCGAGATCTGATGTGGTTTTGGTGAGTCGCTTTCGGACCGGCCCATTCGACTTCGCCGCACACGAGCGTTCCGATCCGGATTCGAAATGAAGAGGGGATTAAGGACTTATGCCGCGGATAAAATCTCCATTTTGCGAGATCGGAAAGCTAATTGTTGAGGAAACCAAGCTTGAGAGAACGAGGCAAACTTGTTTTAAGGAAATACAAAGAAGGCAGCTCGACCAATCGTTTTTTGTTTTTCATTCTTTTCTCCTGTCAAGAGTAACTCGCCTCAGCCTATATGGCGTGGCGATTTATTTGATATACTGATCTAAGTAAACTCATTTGTCTATAGTATGTACTCCTAATGAATTTGATATATTGATCTAAGTAAACTCATTTGATATAAGCTCGTGGTCAAGGTAACTCGGGCTTCGTCGAAGTTTTCGAGCTTCTTCAAGCTCACGGCCATTGCCGCTCGAGTTTCGTCGAGATCGGCCATGGTTGCTCCAGTTTCCGGGCGTTTTCAAGCTCGCGGCCATGGCTACTTCGTCCGGTTTGGCTATGGCCGCTTGAGCCGAGTCAAGGTGACGATAGTGGCGGACGGACTTGGGCGACGGTGGACCAAGGAAGAAGAAGATGTTTGAGTTGTAGACGCCGCGCCAGCGCCTCTCTCTTCAGAAATTAACAAAAATTGCCGAGTCGATATTTTTGGTCAGCCAAATCGGACGGAGTGAATGGACGGGCTTGATAACATTAATTAATTTAACAAATTTTGAAGGCTTGATTGTGTTTTATCGCGAAAAGTTTTAAGACTTGTGGTACACTTATCACAATCATCGAACGATATATGCAGTATCGATCCTTTTTCCGGGTTTCTCAAACTATGATTCATTCAGAATGAGAAAAGAGAGGAGAAATAGAAAATGAGGGTGGAGAGTCGAAAGGAATCGGAACTTCTCTAGATTGAAGCAATTAATTAACAAATCAAACTATCGTTTTTCAATCGTGTATGCATTGTTAGAATTATTGGGAGACGATCGTGCAGTGCCAATCCACGTGCTTTCCTTCTACATCCAATAGGAGAACTGTGGATCTTTCCCCCTTCTCTTTTTCAAGCAAAGCCTATGAATTATGAGGTAGAAAGATTGGAAAGTTTTCATCTTTGACCAAACCGCTAATGTTGATTTATATAGTAAGTTTTTATGCTCGACAAATAAGTGCTCGGGCAAATAAAATCCCATTCGCAGTTTTGCGTCGGTTCCCTTTTCAATTGGCCCGCCGGTATCGACCTTCGGAGATTGGAGCATTACGCAACGAAACCAATCCAGTTGCCTGATCGAGAGATTCGGTACATATCCGAATTAACGGAAAACGTGACTACCTACGTCGTGCAATTGTAGATTTAACCCTTGCAGTATGTTTTAATATGTTCATATTAATTTCATCTTTCTTTTCCCCTCGAAAACAAGGAATGATCTGTCTGAACTTCCCCTCTCCTCACTTGGTGTCCTAACGTGCAAACACGTCCGTTTCCTCATGTGCAATTAGTGCGCACGAACTTGGAAGTGTTCCTAATGATAAATATTTAAATGCAGCTGCTGCACATCTAACTTTCTCCTCCATTGACCAAATCTATTCTCATCAATAGCATGGAAAAAATTGAAAAAAAATAAGAAGATAATAACATATGGACCCACCAATATATATATATATATACACACACACATGTATATGGAAGTCATGCTTAGATAAGAAATGCACATCACACCAAGCTAATCTTCACGGATATGATTTTTCCTTTCGATATCCAATCAAACTCAAATAAATGAGATTGAAGTATTTTACTTGTAACTTAGTCATTAAGCATGCGCAATAGTCTGTCTCGTCAAGAAATCAGAACCCATAGCAATTCAGGAAAGACCGAGATTTCGCTAGGCACGATCTTAATCAACTTTTGTTCTTTGGATATCGGTCTAACGTGGTTCTATGAGCCGCCTTCGTACCGGCCGGCCTATTTGACTTCGCCGGGTACGAGCATTCTGATCCGGATTCGAAATGAATAGGGGATTAAGGGTTCGCATCGCGGATAAAATCTCGATTTCGTGAGATCGAAAAGCTAATTGTCGACAAAACCAAGTTTGAGGGTAGCTCGGCGATTTATATAACGTATCGATCTAAGTAAATCCATTTTGTAATTTGATTCCCTCCATCTCAAGAATTCCACTGGCCTTTTGGCCAAGACCCTTTCAAGCAAAATCCTCAGCAAAACTTGCATTTCCATTCTTTGAAACCTTCTTTCTTTTCATCATTTGACTCTCGCAAGCAATTTCTTTATTTGTATAGCAAGAACAAAAAATAAACAATAACAACAATTATTTTTCAATATAATAATAATCGTTGTTATTATTATTATTATTATTATTATTTGAAGAATTCCACTGGCCTTTTGGCCAGGACCCTTTCAAGCAAAATCCTCAACAAACTTGCTTTTCCATTTTTGAAACCTTATCTTTCTTTTCATCATTTGACTCTCGCAAGCAATTTCTTTATTTGTATAGCAAGAACACACACAAAAAAAGAAAGAGAAAAAAGAGAAGAGGAGAGGAAATAATTCATTGACCTTAGAATCCCTTGAAAAAGAAACCATTGTCATATCTGCATGGTATCTCCTTTTTTTCTTTCTTTCTTTCTTTTTGTGGCTTGCTTTAATAATGAAAGTCGCATGATGAAGTACATAGCTTTTGTCATCTCCCACGCTATGCCCACCCATTTTCTCGTACGTTCCCCCTCCTTGTTTTCTTCTTTCTAATTTGGCCAATGTCTATATGCCTTATCCAATCAAACGAAGAAATCAAAACTTTGGAAATGCCAAGTTTGGCACACATGACCAACTTCGATTCCCCCACCGGCTAAGGAACATCGCCCTAGATAGAAGGATCGAGGAATTTCCCCGTGCACTTCGATACGTACAATGAAGAGTACATCAGCCAATTCATAAGCTTTATCGATCACGATATAGGTAATCGAATGGAATGATACGGCGCGCAATCTCGAGACATACACAAAACCGGCGCAATTATTCGAATGGACCGTCTAATTTATCTCCAACATTCCCCCCATTAAACTACCGTGAGCCAACTACAACCTCGTCATCCCTCTCTCTCTCTCTCTCTCTCTCTCTCTCTCTCTCTCTCTCTCTACACCAGAGCAAAGCACGTCCTTTTATGTCTCACTTCCCAAAGACCGAACATCAAACACCTTTCCCCACCTTCAATTTCCTTTTGCCGCCTCCGCCATTGACATCCCCCTCCAAACTCTCTCTCTCCCTGCGCGAGAGAGCAAATGCTCTTGCTCGTCCCCGTTTCCCTCGCTGAGGACCAGCAATGAAGCCGCCTCCTCCTCCACCTAGTGCTAGACCTCCGTTACTGCGCCCGTAGCGCGCGCACCAAACCAAGCCAAGCCATGCGCGACCTCGCGAGGAGCACAATTCGCGCCGCGCGGGGCGTCAGAAGACGCGTCCTTGATTGTCTCTACCTCTTGCCCACTTCCTTCTATGCTCTGCTCCTCTTGCTCCTCCTGGCTTACAATGCCGCCTCCATATTCTCCGTTCGAGTCCCCAGCGACCCACTTCAAATACTGCCTCCTTCTTCTTCTTCACCTTCAGCTTCCAAGATTTCTTCGAGCAATGTCATGTACGCCATTCGGGAAGAGCATCCGCCTCCGGTCTCGAAGACCCGCTTGGCCCTTTTGCGGAAAGACGAGATTTTGGTCAGACCCGTCAACGGTTCCTCGGTGTCTAGGCCGGAGAGAGGGCGGCACAGACCCAGGCGTGGGGCCAGAACGCTGCGGCTCGGGGCTCAGTCGAGAGGGTTCGCGGCGAGAGTGAATGGCTTCTTTGGGACTTGCGAGGTGAGGTTCTTCATGACTTGGATCAGCTCGCTCGAGTCGTTTGGCGATAGGGAGCTGTTCGCGCTGGAGAGCCTGTTCAATTCGCACCCGGACGGTTGTTTGGTAATCGTCTCGAGCTCGCTGGATTCAAACGAGGGCCGTGAGATTCTGAGGCCATTTCGGGATAAGGGTCACAGAGTGATGGCAATTTCACCCAATTTCGGGTACTTGTTCAAGGACACTCCCGCTCAATTGTGGTTCAAGAGGTTGAAGAGAGGGAATTTGGATCCTGGTGAGGTTGCTCTGGGCCAGAACCTCTCTAATCTGCTCAGGCTTGTCTTGCTGTACAAGTTTGGTGGGGTATACATGGACACCGATGTCGTAGTGTTGAAGCGCATGTCCAAACTGAGGAATGTGATTGGGGCTCAAACGCTTGACCTCGAGACCGGGAACTGGAGCAGGCTGAACAACGCTGTCCTGGTGTTCGACAAGAGCCACCCGCTGCTCTTCAAGTTCATCGAGGAATTCGCGCTCACGTTCGACGGCAACAAGTGGGGCCACAACGGGCCGTACCTGGTGTCGAGGGTCGTCTCGAGGGTGAGCGGGCGGCCCGGGTACAACTTCACCGTGCAGCCGCCGTCGGCGTTCTACCCGGTCGACTGGAGCCGGGTCCGGAGCCTCTTCAGGGGGCCTCGAGGTCACTTGCATTCAAAGTGGCTGCGCAATAAGCTTAGGCACATATTGAGGCAGAGCTATGCAGTTCACTTATGGAATAAGCAGAGTAGGAAGCTCAGGGTTGAGGAAGGAAGCATAGTTGATCACATGATGTCGGATTGCTGCATCTTCTGCAATAAATCAAAGTCCAATCTGTAGATACACAAGAATAAGGACTGCAATTGCCAATTCTAGTGAGGCATATTGTTTGCAGTACAGCTTTAAGTATACATGTAGAGCTTGACTGTGGCTCTGGGACAAGCTCAGTCCATTCCACTGTCATTATAGTGTCCAGTCCAATCTTTATTTTTGTTAACAATTGAGTTAGAATCTTGTTCTGTTGAGATGGAGGTGTTGCTGATGCTGGGGTCTATCTCTTCTGATCTCTTTCTTTTGTCCTGGTCTATCAGTGCAAAGTGCAAAGCACAGAGAAGAGAGATCACACCATCTGATGGCAATTTGGTGATTCAATTGATCCTTGGGGGAAACAATAGAATTTTCTTTTTGGGGCAGATGAGGAATTTTATGAAAGCTGAGGGGTGGGATTGAAATTTGACGTTTGGATTAGCTTTGTCATATGGTCAACTATGGATTTATGTATTTTTTTTTCATTCAACATAATGTTAATTTCATGAAGTGTAAAGTGGGGAAAGTGATGTCTCATCTTTCAATCAATATGAACACCTACCTTCTTCCCACATGGCCCTTGGATGATGGATCTTCCCCTGCCCATCCAGCTTTGCCTTTTGGTCCTCAATTTGTGTTTGTTTTCACAATACGACCTTCAAGTGAATTTTTTTTTCCCTTCGAGTAACGGCTAAAACCGACGATGTAACACTAAATAACTCTCGGTTTTTCGAGACATGTGCGTCATCGATCCCGCGATCGACCGATTCGTCCACGAGAAGTTCGATCAAATGATCTTGCGTGTTCAGTAAATGAATTGAATGCGTCACGGAGATCGAATCTTGTGAGATCGAAGGAAAGTCAATTGCTTGAATGCGAAGATAAAATCTTGTGAGATTGAAGGAAAGTCAGTTGCATTCCCATCTATGGCATTGACTTGTGCTCACTCTAGTGTATAAAAAAAAAATTTACCCTCTTGGAGATAAGGCTAAGCAAGCTTACATTTGATTCTGACCTATTTTTAATTTATATTTGATAGATGGAAAAATTTTGTTGTCTTTTTGTCTGTTAATTTAGTTATTTGTTTCTTGTCAAGTAAGGCAACAGTTCAATGGTTTTAGCTGGTCCTTACAATAGATTCCATGTCATAAGAAAAGAGCCAAGCATGACAATGTCCCAACCTCTCTCCTCTGCCAAAAGGCCCATTTTTAATTAGGGAAAAAATCCAAACTTTGATTCTTGAATGCTCTGTAATTAAATCTTTTTATAAACTTTTAATTTATCTAGTTAAGAATAATAAAACGAAAGAGAGAATCGTGGAATTCGTGTATATTTCGATATGTCATGACGAAGAGTACTACCAATAAGCTTTATTGGATAACTATTTAAGGTAATAAGATGAACATAATGCCACGTATAATCAATCAAAGGTATGCACTATCAAATAAGATATATGCTTAATCCTGAAAAATATGCAGAATCAAGTAAATATCCTAATATCGCTAACTCATGTAATCAAAATCTCGAATTTTGCATAACATTTCTAATTGAAAATTTCCTTTTAACTCCAAATTCGACCGAGTAGAGCTAACATGTTTGTCAAAGCCGAAAACCCCGAGATCTGATTTGCACGACTTTTTGCCGCCGTCGACTGTTATCTAAAGGCGCGGGGGGCAAAAAACCCCCCGAAATCGAAGACCGCAACCGAGTCTCCGGCGGCGAGAGCCTTTCGACGCAAACATCGCCGATCGAGCTTCCCATGTCGAATTTCTCGCCGGCTCGAACGGACACGTCGGGTCCGTTCGACCGGGCTCGAACAGCTCGATTCCCCAAAAAAGAAAAAAAAAAAAAAGAGGTACAACCAAGTTGTAAGATGCTGCATATATGCCTAGTAGGAAACATGCACATCATTATTTTGGAGACATTAATGAAGGACCACATGGGGGATATCTATATGCAACTATAGTATTAAGTGCACCCACATCACCTACAAACGTTTGGTCCATCATATTCGGGTCCCCCACATGCACGCTCCGTTTTGTTCTCCGGACAATTATTTAGAAACAAGCTTGACGTTTGGTGGGGTTCGGAAGCGAATAAAGCTTTTACGCTTCCAAACGGGGAATGCTTTTTTTTAAAGCTACTATTTAGGTCGCGATCGACGCGTAAATGGAAAAGATTTCGAGCGCTAAACTTCCGAGATTGGTGCGGTCGGTTTTTTTTTTTTTTTTTTTGGGAAGGGGGTGTGTTCGGGGGAATTTTTTGTCTAGGAACTGGAGGTCATTTGTTCCGAACGAGACTTGCCGCGTACAAATATTCACTTACTAATCTGCATTCGACTTTGGGGGAATGAACATCGAGTCCTTTGTTTTTTTTTTTTTTTGGATTAATATCGTAGAAAACTCCAAACGGGTACATCTGTGACAAATGTATCCTCCGTCAGTTTCCGTCAAATTAGTGAGTTGGATAATACGTGACAGTTAACGGGTATTACCAACTTGGGATTTTACCCTTTCGTTTGTCATAGGTACACCGGTTTGTGATTTTTCGTGATATTAATTCAATTTAATGGAAATTAGCGGAGAGTAAATTTGTCACATATGTACGATTTTTGGGTTTTTCGTGATATTAACTTCTTCCTTTTTTTGGGGAATTGTGCCCTAAGTCACCCGGATGAATAAAGGGTCGCTATAATTTTATTAAAATCGAGCCGACCTTTTCGAGGGTCTGGCAAAAACCTTCAATACTCGACTTTGTGGTTAAATTGCAAGAACCAAATCCTTCACCAAGAGGAACCAATGAATCTTCAATTAAATTTGCAATGGGGCCACTGAACTTTTGGATATTGCTGATGAGGCCATAACTTCGAGTTCGATTCCTCAAGTATTTTGCAACTGATGCATCCTGATAGGAACGTGATCGACACTCCGATGAAGTATCGACATGAAACGTCGCGTCACTATGTAAGCACTTTGGTCGGAGGATAGCGATTTCATCCCGATTTATGGATTGATTTATTGTTAGGTTCACTGGAAGTACTTTTGGTAATGTCACATGCACATTGAGCCATGAAACTATATTGAGCCAATGACCAAATAATACCAAAGTGTGTCATTTTCCCTTAATTTATTGTTAGGTTCACTAGAAGTACCATACACATTATATTTTGGATGCGTGACGTGCTTAGGAGGGAGTTTATATTATATGTCGACGATATGATGATGAATATCGTAAATTACTGTCTTTTTAGTAAGGGAAAAATTCACCAAAAACTCCAAACTATACCTATTGCGAGATATTTGCCCTAATTTTTTTGTGTTTTTGTTTTCGGCGATACCAAGAGCCTCGAACTTATAATTGTGTGATACATCTACCATCTATTAAGGTCTTGTCAATGAAGGCAATTAGTGTTGGTGTAATTGAGACAAAAACGAAGTCGTTCCGGCTCATCTGGCAAACCCTTGTCGAGGGGTGAGCAACTTGGACCGCCAAATCGGGACCGGACCGACGGGTTTGGTCCGATTTTCGGGACTATCGATCCGGCTTCCTAGCTTCCTAAAAGCGAAACCGTTTCCGAGCGGGTCCTGGTTCCGTTCCCTTGCTCCAAGGGGGACCGAGTCGGATCGGACCGACTATTTAATATATATTTTTGTTATTTTTTCTTTAAAAAAATTAATAAAATGTGAACTAAACTCTAAGTAAACTTTATTATCATAAATTCATTGATAAAAATTAGTAAAATTTCTTTACCAAAAAAAAATAGTAAAATGTGAATTAAACCCTAAGTGAATTTCATTGACATAAATTCATTGACAAAAATTAATAAAATGTGAACCAAACCTTAAATGTTTAACAAAAAAAAAAAAAAAAACTAAACTCTAAGTGACCGACGGAATCGGACCCGGCGGTCCGGTCCGGCTTCGGTCCTAGAACCAACCTTCGATCCGCGGTTCCCAAAATTGGAAACCGGCTTCTCATCTCGGTTCCTGCTTTACTTTGGAATCGGACCGACCGAGAACCGATCACCCTTACTTGTCGGGAGGGGTAAATGTGTCTCGCCACGGGACCGATATGGAGTTTTTGATGTCAAGGGAAAAAGTTCAGGGTTAATGCATCACAGCGGTTATAATCCGGGGCTATTGATATAAAAACGAAAAAGTTTAGGGCAAATCGGTGATATAATATCTAGGTTTTTTTTTGTGGCTTTTCGTAAATGTTTTTTTTTATTTTATAAAGGGTTAATGTCACGAAAAACTCCAAACCGGTACACCTGTGATAATTTTACCCCAAACTAATTTTTTCATCAACAAAAATCCCAAACTGGTACACCTGTGACAATTTTACCCCGCGTTAGTTTCCGTTAAATTTTACTGTTAAATTACTTTGTTAAATGACACCCGGTAGTTGACGGATATACCAGTTTTGGGTTTTACCCTTCATTTATCACATGTGTACCAGTTTGTGATTTTTTTTTTTTTTTGCATTAATCCGATTTAACTGAAATTAACAGAGGGTAAATTTATCGCAAATATACCGGTTTGAGGTTTTTTGTGGTTAAAAAATTAGTTTGTGATAAAATTATCGCAAGTGTATCAGTTTAAAATTTTTGATGATCAAAAAAATTAATTTAAAATAAATTTATTACAAATATATCAGTTTGAAGTTTCTTATTGTATTAACTCTTTTTTATAAGCAGGACAACGTCACTATTCCGGAAAAATCTTCCCGCCACACTCTCTCTCTCTCTCTCTCTCTCTCAAACAGTAAAGCAAACCACTCGAGCGCGAATCGAAAACCCTAAGAATCTGCTCCCTTCCGCTTCGATTCGAGCGCCGGGGAATCGCTAGGATGCTGCGAATCCGCGATTCCGATCCGACGGAACCGCCGCCGGGAAGAGCCTCTCGCCGGCCGGATCGCCGCCGGAGGTAAGCTTCCCGATCCGGTGGGGTAAGGGGGAGGGGGGGGACAAATGTCGCTCTCCGCCGCGTTCGGCGAGCGGCTGGAGCAGCTGGACCGGACCAGGAACCAGCGCCTCGCGCTCCTCCAGGTCTCCTCCCGGCGATCGCGATCTCCCGAGCTTCTTCTTCTTCTTCTTCTTTCTTCCTTCCTTTCTTTCTTTCGCGAGGCGGAAATCGGTAGCGGATGTGAGAGATGCGGGGAATTTTGCAGGCGGAGAGAGAGCTGCAAGCCGCCAGATCGCAGGTCCTGGAGTCGAAGCGCGCGGGGATGAGGTCGAGGGAGGAGAGGTGCTTGAGGCTGGAGCGGAGCCTGGCCTCGCAGAGCTTGAGGATCTCGGCTCTCGAATCCGAGATCGCCGCTCTCGATGCCGAGTATAACGACAACGTGCAGCGATTGAGGTGAAAGCGTGGCTCGTCGTCTTGAGATTCGTCGCGTGTTGTCGTGGCTTTCTCTTCGTATGAGGTCGGTTTGTGCTTGGTGTTTTTTAGGGCGTTGAGGTGCGAGGTGGAGGAGCTCGAGGAGGCGGAGAAGGAGAAGGAGGGATTCTACCGAGCTCGGACCGGCGAAATGAAGGATTTCAAAGAAGCAACGAACAGGTTCGTCGTGGATTGCCAGATTCGCATAGAGGAATTACGAGACGAACTGAACGAGGTAAAAGAGAAGCCTCTCCATTTTCGGATCTGCAAACTGACCTGATGTTATGCGATTCCTCGAACATGAACCGGATTGTGCTATTCGATGGATCATTCTGTTAGCTGGATTGAAAGCTGTACGATGATAGCAATAGCAATGAACTCAGTATCGCCTGTTCAGCTACTATACCAGAGAGTGAAGAAAGATTATTTTCCCATGTTATCTTTGCTTACGTTAGATTTTGATTTGATGAAATATAGCTGCGGTTCTTTTTGAGTAGCATACGAGATAACTCTAAGATCAAAGTATGAGCTTTTGATATTCTGGTGACTGCAATCACGTGTGATGTGCTAACTGCAAAATGAAGTGTATTTACAAGAGTCTATGGAATTGCTTCTCCCACTATATACCATATAAGCAGAATTAGCTGGAGATGCTTACATGTAGTATGGTGCTCGAGATCAATATTCAAACTCTACACGAATGATTGGTGGTGCTATGAACTGGTCTCAATCTCATGAGCTAATTCTTTGCTCAGTCTGTCCGCACGGTCGTCGTGGCCACCGGCAAACGAGTACACTCGGAATGTGAACTGAAAAGCCCTCCAAAGCATTTTAGTGTAATCGGTTCTTTGCGTCTGTGATTTTGTTACGGTCGCTTTGTTCTCGATTTCTTTTGCTTCTCTGCTTTCCTGTATCAGATCCAAAAAAGAAGGGACGCAGTTGAGGGCTCATGTTCTCTTCCCCGAGTAATCTGTAAATTGCAAAGATAGCTGACTGTTCAAATAATTTTGAGTACCTTAAGTGCTAATTCCATGCATCTTGAAGATATGTCAACCGTCAATTCCTTGATTCTTATGAGGATACCGAAGTCGAATTCGATATTATTTCTCCGAAACATCTTGGACTCTTCGTCCTTTATTCGTTCGAGCGTGTCAATTTCTCGTTTCATCTGTAATTTAGTTCCTTTATGTTACTTCAAGATATAGAGGTATCTAGAATATAACTGATAAGAAGGTTTTGTTTAATAAGAAACTACAGAACCAATTTGAAATTACCTTGTTGAAGTAGTTCTCAATCTGGTCGAGGAGCTTTCCAAGAGGAGGTGCAATCTTCCAGTTCTGCAAGTCAGCTACAATTGCCTCTAACTTTAAGCGTAGAGCTGCCGCCGCTCTTAAAGCTTCCAGCTTCTTTGTGGGGAAGTCTTCAAACCTTGCTAAAATCTGCACGTTAGAAAATTATATTATGATCCTGATATAATGGACTCAATAAAATGCATTATAGGGGCTAAAAACTGTGTAAGCCTATGTTCACCTGTGTTTCATCTGTCAAATTTTCAAGATGAGATTCAATGAAGTTGTGGAACTTGATGAGCTCAATCATGTCCTTGGTTTGAAAAGAATTTATTTTGGCTTTCAAATCCGTGATTGTCTTTCCATGCGTTTGCATGTCTTTCTCTATTTTTTGGAAGTATGCTGATCTGGGAGACAAGAACCATACAATGGTTAAGTAGAGAATTCCATTTACTTTATATGTTTAACTTATATCATTTAGATAGATCACTGTCTGTTGAGGTACTGGAAGCCTACCTCTTTTTCATCTCTGCTATTGACTCAGCCATTCCTTGTTTTCCACCTGCAGAGGCCCAAACTTGACGATTTCTTCCACTGTTCAGATTAATCTCTGAGTTCGACCCTTCTATTTTTCCTTTCAAGAACCGATAAAGGGTTGCAATTTGGGTTGATCTCCTCAACCTTGTTGTTGCTTTTTTGGGGTACAAGGATTTGGTTGCACTCAGAGAAGGAGGTGGCGGCGGAGGAGCTCCTTTAATGCTCGGTGGTGGAGGTGAAGGTGATGGAATTGACCCTTTGGAGGGTGCAGGAAGTGGAGGCGGCGCAGGTGGTAGTGGTGGCGATGCTACTATTCGTGCAGTTCTTGGTATCTTTGGTGCTGTTGGCAATGGGGGCAGTTCTCCTGCAGCCACTTCAACTGGTGGTAATTTAGGTGGTGGTAAAGGTGGTGCGGCAGGAGGTGGTGCTTTTTCTGTCACAACTGCAATTAAGTGAGCTGCTGGTTCTGAATCCACTGTTCCTTGAGCTGCTACATTTTCCGGTACAGGAGGTTCAGGTTTACGTGGAGATGGTGCAGCTTCTTTTGCAGCCGGAAGAGGAGGTGGCGGTGGTGGTGAGTTTTTTGTCAACGCAGCTCCGGAGATCTTGGATGGTGTTGGTTCTAGGGGAGTCATTGGCCGGTGAGGAGGTGGAGGTGGCGGCGGTGGTGATTTATCTGTCAACGCAGCTCCAGAGATCTTGGATGATGTTGGTTCTAGGGGAGTTGTTGGCCGCTGAGGAGGTGGAGGTGGCGGTGGCGGTGGTTTCTTTGTCAACACAGTTCCAGAGATCTTGGATTTTGGTGGTTGTGGAGGTGGTGCTGCCTGAGGAGGAGGAGGAGGAGGAGGAGGTGGTGGTGGTTTTTTTGGCAACACCATTCCTGAGATCTTGGAAGGTGATGGTTGTGGAGCCGGCTGAGCTGCAAGATTTGGTATTAAATTGGGAGACGATGGAGGTGGAGGTGGAGGTGGAGGTGGGGGTGGGGGTGGTGCTTTTGCATTGAAGTAAGAATTTTGTGCCAAAGCTGCTGGTGTTGCACCAGATTTGCTTGCTTCTGCTAATCTTTCCTGAATGGGTTCCGGTTTTTTCACAGCATCACGTCTGAGACTCCTAAAAAGACAAGCGATGAATGAGACATCAGTCGGAGGCCTTCTGGTCTTCTTCAGTTCCGAAATGGAAGTAGTTGGAATGGGATTAAAGCAGGGATTTTGGTTTGCCTGAGACTCCCCGAGGACATCATAAGATGCGGTGCTTTGTTGGCCGTGATCTTTCTTATGGTCATCTTGATACATCGGCTCACAATTTTCTGCTGCTACTTTTATGAGGTCATGAAGAGTTTCCACCACTTTATTGACTGCAGGAGAAAAAAGGGAAAAGTGAAGACAATTAAGGAACTGAATTCTCAAACAAACTCAATCATCAACTGGAATCGATAATTGAAAAATCACGGCAAGAATGTCTTGCCATGCAAAGTGAATTTCATTGGGACTTGCAGCATACCTAGTTTTTCCAAATTGACGCTCTCCATGCCGCCAAATTCATCAGACTTGATGTTCTCCATCCATTCATGATTCATCTTCCAAAGCTCTCCTAGAGATTTTAAAGCATTGCAGAAGGAGGCCACTCCCTGTCGAAACATGAATCGACCATTTGCATTAATCTTCTGATAAGTGATATCCCTGTTCTGGATGGTGATTTGAAGCTGATGAAATAGCAAAAGACCTGATCGATTGCCGCTCTCTTCATTTCTATGAGCTTCACTCTCCTCCTTGTCTTATTCCCGTGGAGATCATCCATTGCCTTTATCATCAGCTATGAGGTAGACTATTGAACATAAATTTCTCAAGTGCGACAGAACCTTTAAGGGCAGCCAGTTACTTCTATGGAAGTAAAGCAATGAGGAGTTGCCCCAATACTGTCTCTCAAGTCAATTCGTCTTCGGCCGGAGCTCCATCATCCAAATGAAGTTGCCTGTCCATAAACTCGATCCACATGTTGAATCCATCGACTTTTTCTGTCAAATTCATATCCAAATCAGATTCGTATTTCCTGCAACTACTTCGTCTATATTGTTTGATATACTCTTGATGCAGTAGCTGTCTTCTTTAATTAACTTGTATGCTCGGCACAAAGTAAGTTGCTATCAGAGCATATTGAATTTTAAACAGATTTTGGCACTATCAAGCATGATGACTGATGGGGTGCTTTGGAAAATACATTCGACAACATATTTCATGTTCCGTCCTCAATTTTCACCAAGGATAATCGGAGATGAAAATACAAAAAAGTGACATCTTTTCGACCGGATACTGTCATACCTGATATATATGTGACCTGCATGTTATGCAGCTGTAGATGAACGATGCTTCGCCGGAGCAGCTTGAGGTAGCCATGTTTAAAGCTCGAGAGATCCTGATGAATAAAAGCGCTTTGGTCTTCATAGTCCTGGTCAGCCTTCTGGTCTTAGAAGTAACTCTGTCATATGGGAGGAAAAGTACTCATTAAACGCTTCAAGCCGCGAGCAACTCCTCTCTATTTCTCATAGAAAAGTCAACTTTTCTAGATTGGTTGGAGGACATCGTAGCCTGGGTTGCTTAATGTACAATGCTTACTCAATTTGCCTGGAAATTTCCAAGGAAAGAAAAGTCAATGGGTCACAAGTAATCTGGCCTTGGAGATCAAGAACTGATGAACTGCATTATGCACATGCGCCCACACCATCCTTTTATTATACTTTCGAGGAAAACCAGGGCATAGCGGTCCTCATACGAGTCGCTTGTTCCGACCTCTTTGAGTGCCACGATTCGAATCATTGACCTCTCCCACTTTGCATTTTGCAAATTGAGTTATAAGTTTATAACTACGGGGTTGCGTTGTTCATCGTAAGATTATGAAGTTGCTCTCCGATGTTATAGTTGTTAAGATATTCAGTGCCAATCGAGCAACTTATTCTTGATATATTAGCTTGAATTCATCTATAGGATAACAGCCACCTTTGGCATAACACAGTAGCACCTCTCTTAATTCGCAACATACAATCATAGATTTTATACCTCTCGCGGGTATGTGCAGATATTTTTTCGCATCAACCGTAACACTCGATCATGCTATTCCTTTAGAACCAAGCCGGGAAAGTTTGAGGCTATGTATAACTTTACAAAAGCTTTCACTTCACATATTTTTGCAGTAAGGTTGATCGATACTACACAGAGAAACCCTACGGTCTATTTAGTTTTCTCGTCCTAAAACCCTAAAAAGAATTATGGTGCTCGGGTTTTATGTTGATTATGGACATGCCCCGAGAGTCGATCAATGAATGATCTCTCGTTCTTTCCGTTCGACTACGTTTCCTCAGTCCCTCGCTCTTCTCTTTTCGCTATCACAAGTTTAGGGAAGGCCGAAAATGCCAGTGAAAAATGTGTCACTTGGCTAAACTGCAATCCAAATTTGTCCTAAAATCGGCTCTGGACCAGAATCACACGTGATCGGAGTAAAGAAGAGATAAGTTAAGAACGAAGCTGCCAAGATGCCAAACATTATTGTTCACTGGTGCAAGTTCTCCTTCTCTTCAATTGACGCTTCCCCATTGTAACTGCCCAGAATAAAAATGGAGAAGTTTTTGTTAGAGCTGTTAACTTCCGAAGTTATTTCCCAAAAAGGGAGGAAGCGACTGAAGTTATGGAGTTTATGCTGCTCAAGCTCAGCTTGTCATTTTGTATAGAAACAATAAGGAATCATCGCCTCATCACTTACCATAGAGACCGAATAGAGATAACGATTACGGTGTTGTCCATGCTCAGATGCAATCTGGATTTGATAAGATCCTGTCAACCGAGGCGGTGGGTGTCATGTTTTCCCAGATCATTCAGGATTAAGCTCAACTGCAAAATCAAGTGTATTTACAAGACTCGTTGCATTGAGACAGTGTTGGAACAGTTACGCTACAGATGATGTCAAGAACCATTTGCTTCTTAATCAAATCAGTGTGTGTTAAAGGGGAAAACGATAGTCTATCAAAATGTCTCAACTCTGATTGGCGGCACGTTGTGTATCTGATGGAATAAGATACTTTCTGCATTGCATTGCTACTCAGCTGTACTTGTGTCCTATCTGTCCACCGTCAAGTGCTCATCAACAGAATTAGTAGGAGATGCTGCAACATAATGCATGGTCGAAGCCACGACTTAGAGAAATGCGGGATTTGATGACGCTAAGAATCGGTCTCGATTTCATGAGCTAATTCTTTGCTGAGTTTGTCCGCACGGTCGTCATGGCCACCGGCGAACGAGTACACCCGGAAAGCCAATTGAAAAGCCCTCCAAAGCATCTTGCTGTTACCATCTCTTCGCCTTGCCAGTCTCGTTGCGGTGTCCTCTTTCTCTTTTGCCTTTGCTTCTCTTCTTTCCTGCATCAGATATCCAACGGGTCAAGTTTGAGGGCAATTTTTTGTTTCTTGAACGCTTTCCAAATTGACAAGCTGACTCTTGTTCAATAACAGAATGTGGAGCACCTTAAGTACCAACTCCATGCATCTCGAAGAAACATCGACCATCGATTCCTTGATTCTTACAAGGATATTGAAGTCGAATTCAACATTGTATCTATGAAACTTCTTGGCCTCTTCGTCCTTTATTTGTTCGAGCATGTCAACCTCTCGTTTCATCTATATACATTTTTAGTTCCTTTAAGTTAGTCTAATATGTAGATAGAGGCATTTGGACAAAACACAGCAGAGAAAGTTTTCGTGAGGTAAGAAATGAAGGATTACATTGCAAATTTAAGTTACCTTGCTGAAGTAGTTCTCAATATGGTCAAAAAGCTTGCCAAGCGGAGGCACAATCTCCCAGTTCTGCAAGTGAACGGCAATCGCCTCAAGCTTCAAGTACAGGGCTGCTGCTGCTCTTAAAGCTTCGAGCTTCTTCTCGGGAAAGCCTTCGAACCTTGCTAAAACCTGCGCAGAAGAGTTAAGCTCATGACCACAGTGTTACGTATTGGAAACCATATGTAACAATCTGACCCTATCTGTCGACCTGTGTTTCATCTGTTAAACTATCGAGATGCGATTCAACCAAGTTGTGGAACTTGAGGAGCTCAACCATGTTCTTGGTGTGAAAGGAATTTATCTTTGCTTTCAAGTCTATGATCGTTTTTCCATGCGTTTGCACGTCTGTCTCAATCTTTTGAAAGTACGCCGATCTGAGAGAGACGGGGAGGATAAAATGGTAAAGTACATTCTGCAATTCAGTTCATACATCTATATTGATTATGTGTTACATCTATGTACCTCTTTGTCATCTCTGCTAATGCATCAGCCATCCCTTGGTTTCCACCTGAAGAACCCCGAGCATGATGTTTTCTTCCACTGTCAGATTTACCCTCTAGATTTGACCCGTCCATCTTCGCTTTCAAGAACCGATAAAGGCTGGCAATTTGAGCTGATCTTCTCAACCTAGTGGTTGCTTTCCTGGTGTATAACGATGTGGTCGCAGTTCGTGGAGGAGGAGGCGGTGGAGCAGCTCCTTTGAACGGTGGCAGAGGTGGTGGCGATGTACGCAATCCTTTCGAGGGTGTAGGAAGAGGTGGTGGTGGAGTGCCTGGTGGTGGCACTGGTGGTGGTGGTGGTGCCGTGGTCGCAGCCGCTACATTTGCACTTCTTTGTACTGCAGCTGCAAGCCGTGCTTCCGAATTGCTTGTATCGATTCCTCTCACCTGGATGGGCCTCTGTTTCCACGCAGTGCTACCACTGCGAGGCCGCAGAAGACACGGGATGAATGTAACATCAGTAGAAGGACTTCTGGTCGTCTTCCATATCAAATTGAAAGTTGTTGGCCTAAACCAGGAGGTCCGGTTGGATGGAGACTCCGCGGGGACTTTGCCAGGTGTGATGTTTTGTTGACTGTGATCTTTCTTCTGCTCATGTTGAACCATCTCCTCGGAACTTTCTGCCGCTACTTTTATCAGGTCATAAAGAGTTGCCAACACCACGTCAACTGCAGTTAAAATCCGAATCATCAAGTGGAGTCAGAGAAATTGAATAATCACAGCGAGAATTTAATGCCTGCGCAAAATTGAGGTTAGTAAATAATTGCAGTGTACCAAGCTTTTCCCAATTGATGGTCTCCTTGCCATGAAGTTCTTCACAATTGATCTTGCCCATCCATTCATGGTTCATCTTCCAGAACTCCCCTAGAGATTTCAAAGCAGTACAAAAGTAGGCCACTCCCTGTCGAAACAAGTGCTAGGTTAGCATGAATCTTCTGATATCCTAGTTTCACAGGACAACTCTTTTATCACTGTCCCAATGAAATAGCAAAAGACCTGATCGATTGCGGCTCTCTTCATTTCAAGGTGTCGCAGTCTCTCCCTGGCTTTGGGGTTTTTACTTTTGAGATCACTCATTTTCTCTGTCACCAGAAAAGAATAGAGTGATCTTGCTGAGAAAATTTCGCAAGTGCAGTGAAAATCTAATGTCTCTCGGGCTGCTTCCGAAAGATTGGCTGACAATAATAAAAGGCCAAGGCAAGGCGCTTTTGCGAAAGTAATGTGAAAGCAATATGTTGGTAGAAAGATGTCTCTCAGAACAGTTCTTTGAATTATGCTTCATCATCAAAAAGAATTCACCTGTCTGTGCAGTTGATCCATAGAATTCGAAGGATTTGATTTGTTGATCTTCGGCTACATTAGATTATCTTATTCCTGCAGCGACAAGATTACTTTGTCACCACAATGTCCTCCTGATATACTGAGTCATCTTCATCAGTGAACTACCTTATTAACCTAGAAAGTTTCCGGTTTTGTCGCTAGCACCTGGATTGAAATTATGGCCGGTCTCGATCTGTTTTTATATTGTGCGACAGAAACACTCTTCTAGACAAAACATCAACACTGGAACATAATTTTTTTTTTTGGTAAGGAACACTGGAACATAATTAATCCCTAGAGATGTCAATATTTTCAATTCAAGCATGAAACTGATGGTGCAGTCAGAACCTTATTGCTGATTGAAAAGAAAAAGACAGTACTTGTCTGTACTATCTATCTGTTTTGTCCTCGATTTTGATCGAACTACATCAGAAGAGTTGAACATGGAAAAGCACTTTTAACCCACCATTTTGTCATACCTTGGACATAAATGTCTAGCATAATTTGCAGCTGCAGATGTAACGTTGGTTATGTAGGTGCTCTTTTACCAACACAATCACAACCACTCGTGTTTGACAAGTCGCGCAAAGACCGATTTAGGGTTATTTGCCTTTTTGTTTTGTGGTATGTTGGATACTTATCTGTCTAGACTTTTCGCTTTATTGTGAATTACCTATATGAATATATGGAAAATCCTTATGGGCCGACATCAAGAAACCTCCATGAGAATCTGTGCATAGTCAATTTTAGTAACAGCATCTATGTGAGATAGTGACAAGTCAACGCATAAAACAGGAAAAGAAGATACTTATTGAAATCTTGATGAATCTATTTCTTCTTTAGGCGATGCCCTATAAAGGATAGAAGTGTTTCTGTCACTCAGCAAACAAGGAATACAGATTATCCTTCCATGTTGGAGGCAAACGTTTTCTTTACGCTTTCCAATTATTTCCATGAAAAGAAAAGGATTTATGTACATCTTCTACCATAAAACTGAAGATGTAGAGTTTCTTTCTTTCTTTTTGGGTCGAAATTCAGGTCATTATTTGACGATGAATGATAGATCTGTTCACAGCTTTTTACTGCTTAAAGTTGATGCTGCCATGCTGATATTTTTTTTTTCATTATTTTCGAGTTTCGATTCACCAAAAACGCACGTTACTTTATTACCCATATTAGAGTTAAGTTGAAGGATCCAAATGGGTATATGAGGATATAAATAATGCTTTCAGCAAACTGAATTGGTTATTCATATTGCTGATGAAACTTAGAAGCAAGCAAAATGTGTACACACACCCAAAAAAATATACATGAAATATACTTCTATATATTACAGCACCAAGTAAAGTTCCCATGCCTATTATTAAACTCAATGTGACAACAGTTACCAATAGTATGAAAACCATGATTATTAGTGTAGATTATAGAGCATGCTTATTTGTAAGTAACAAATGAATCACAACAAGCTTAGCTAAATACCGAATGATTTTGTGTCCTGATCAGACTTTTTATCCTCTTTTTGGCAAGGCAACCATGAATGGCTAAACGCGCACAGCTCGGTTCTGAGAATTTACTTTATTTATCTCCCTGCCTGTGGATGGAGACTTGTTCTTGTCGACCTTGGTGGGAGTTTTCGCGGTTTTGCTATCTGCAGGCGACTTCTTGGAACCTGTGGAAGTTAATCCACTTGCGGCAGTTCTTTCGGCGATTCTTTTTTGGCGCTGAATCATCATTTCTTCCATCTTCTTCCGAATCTCTTCCTCCTGTTTACAAGCACAACTAGTTAGCAATTCTGCTGAAATAAATATCAATGATCAAGCTTTGTCTCGATCTTTCACAGCTTAAGGTTTAGATCTGTTGACTGTAGTCGAAATATGGCAGAAAGAAAAAGGAGTCAAGAATTTGATAACCGTGCCCAAAACTCACAGGTACCTTTTCCGATTTGCTCTTTTGAAGAGTTGATCGATTAATAGAACTCGGCTTCCTGGTTTTACTGGTTAGGTCAGGTCTGCTCCTTCCAATGGTTCTCTGTACAACTTTGGATTTTGCATCCTTTGCTGGTTCTTTCTTTGCTTTGACTTCTTTGTTCCTGGAGTTGGCGTCACCATCCAAAGCACTCTTGTCATTAGCACTATCGCATGCTTCTTTTTTAGAGAACCTTTCAGCTTCTGCAAGCGTAATATCAACTGCAGAGTCCAGAGACCAAGACTGCTTGCCAGGCTCCACCTCAGAGTCCCTATCGAGCATCATGAAAAGATCATCGGGCTCGTAGGATTTTGATAAGTCACGCCTATCTTCTGAAGTATCCAATGTGCCATTTTCACGTTGGACAGCGGAATTAAACTCGGCAACCATGCTGATGTCTCTCGTCAAGTGGAACTCATTGTATGGCTCATTGACTGATGGCCGAGATTGTATCATGATAGAATCGTCAACGACATCTTCTTTACCTCTCCCACGCCCGAGGGATTGATTCTCCTTATATAAAACATAGTCGCCATCAAATATCATTTCTTTGAGAGTTGCATCTCCACTTTCCAATGTCCCCATGTTAGCGATAAAGGAATCTTCTCCCTTCCTTGGTCTGGTTAAAGACGTCTCTGCATCACCAGCGGGTGTGTGATTCATCATCTTTCCATATTCATCAGTTCTACCTGAGATTAACAATACCTCGTCACCACAATCGGCCCTCTTCAAACCTGGACGGAGATTCTCCACGCTGCCAAAATCCACAGAGTTGATCACACTATCATCCATCCCTCGCCTATCCTCAGTCGCAAACAACGAATCCTCTGAAGCTTTCAGTTTCATTCCAACTTTCTCTGTTCCCAGTTTTATAGTTCGTTTGACCATATGAGAAGATTCATCCTCGAAGCTTCTGAGCATCGATTGCTGATCCAGAGTGTGCGATGGTTGGTCAGTTTCGTCCGTGGATGTCATAAGAAGAGTCTGAAAAGCACCCCAGTTGTCATTTGTCTTGTGCCCCAGAGAAGATTGGTTGTCCTCACGATCCTTATCCTCAGCATCCACTGTACTATTCCCAAGAATCTGGTCATCACTGTCCTTTTTCCTGTGAGTATGCCGCTTGGTCTTACGATTCTTCTTCAGGGATTCAACAACATCCTCTACGCTCTGTTTCAAAGTATCTTCATCAATCAACTCGTCCTCGATAGAAGAATATTCAGCAGAGTCCCCATCCGGGTCTCCTCCTTTTCTCTTTGATGAAATGTAGTTAATATTACGAATGACAACCGTCCGAGAGGATTTCTTCTTGTGTTTTCTATGATTGGTACTCCCTGCAGAGGAATGCCTTCTCTCCCGTTGTGAAGTTGAATTAGATTCTCCGGAGTCGTCCCCACTGTACGAGTCGCCGGAGTGGATTTCTTCTTCTGAATATTCAGCTTCTTCTTTATGTGAAGTTTTCTTCTTCCTCTCTGAGGATGACTTGGACCCATTTTTCTTCTCTTGTTTCATATCGGGATACGATGCTTCTGAATTGAAAGGCCATTGGTTGTTGCCATTTGGATTGTTAGGAAGAACAGACTGCATAACGGGGAAAGGATATCCGGGATATGGAGGCATTTGCTGGTACATGTATGGAGGAATTTGATGCGGCCATGGAATATGCATTTGAGCTTTGGCAGATGGAGTTTGAGGAACATTATCATCTGCACAAGATGGTTCACCTTGTAATACACAGAACATACTAGTATGGTTAAGAGAGTTCTGACAAACATAAAGAGGAGTACAAGCATTATAGAGGGTATGGAGTTTCGTATCAGCAATCATAATAAGAGAACCGAGAAATCTTACATTGGAAGTCTAAAAGATAAGACAGAAAATTTGCTTCTCATACTTGAAACTCAAAATGCCTCTCTTGATGAAGTGCAGTATACTGACCAATATCCATCATGACAAACAGGATGAGTTGAAACTTATTCTGTGCAACACATTTTAATTGGACCGTGATAGAAATTCTCTATATTGGCATCGTCTGCTTCCAGCTTTGAATTCATGTTTCGCTACCCTGAAATGCTCTTTAACCCCATCACCATCCTTACTAGACCAAAAAGATAGTGTGACTGCTTAAGTAATAGGTCTACTCGAATGGCGAGTCGTAGCATAAGATACCCAATCACTAGGCATGAAATGTTTAATTAGGTTATATCTTCCACTGAGCATATTATGTAAAGATAAACCGTATAAGAAAAGAATCACGTAACACCCTTATCTGCAAAAGACTTCAGCGTTAGCAATATACCTTGAAAATCAGAAAACATACAAAATCAGGATAGAGATGGAGTAACAATAAGGTTTGGTTCAAATCAAGATTACCATCTCTAGCATCTATTTATGGTCCTAAAAATATTCTACAAACTTTAGCGGTTGATATTCTGATGAGGATTGACAAAATGTACCTAAGGAGTACCAATAAAGTTCTATTGCACTATCACGCGAAAAAAATATCCTTACTTACGCTAATGAGGATTGAAAAGAAGGAAAAGATTGTGCAATGGAAAAAAGCAAGCCCAGAACGAGTAAGTACCTTTCCCGTTTTCAACATTTGATTCACCAGAAAACCCATTTGCCGCAACAGTGTCGTTGGAGCCATCTCCGCTTGGATAGTGCAAAGTGATACCTTGACTCGGAGCACTCATTTCATTGGCAAGCATAATCCCGGAAGTCGCAGGAAATGACAGGTTTGATGATACGTATGCCTCCATTGCGGATAGTTCTTCCATCCAAGGAACATCTGCTTGCTTTTTCTCGCATAATTTCTTGAATTCAAGGCATGCTTCTCTGCAGTAATTAATTTATCATGTTCAGATTATTGCAGCCAGAAAGAGATTTGAACTTTGCTGGAAAATATGAGTGAATCTATCATCAAGAAATAAAGAGAAGTTGCAACTATTAAGACATTGCTATATAAACGGTTAGATGAGATTGTGTGTTCTGTTTCACAGCTCAAACATTCTGCACAATCTCTTCATCTTCAACCTTGTTCATACCTTAAACGTGATGCTCCAAACGCATCCGCGAAAGAAATAAGTTCATCCATATCGTCCATATCAAATCCAGCAGCTCGTCCACGAGCATATGCCATCGCTTGTGATTTGAGGAGCATCGCTTTCCGAGATTCCAGAACGTGTTGAAGACGAAGCCTTGCCATCAGAAAGACTGAATGAATCAGTGATAAGTTATTCGCAAAAGCACCACAAAGAGCAGATACTATT